TTTGTGAAATGCTAATGTTTTCTTCTATGAGGCAGTCTATTTTATCATTAAACTTTTTCTCTGCAAAGAAGATCACATCTGGATAGCTTAAGACAAACTTCTGTACCTCTTCTTCAATACATCCAAGAGAAAACAGCTTCTCTTTGACATTTGCATAGTTTCTTCTGACACAGTCATTGGAAAGGTCTAAGATTTCAGCTCCTGGACCACATATCAGGCCCAGCAGTTCCTCACTGTTCAAGCTGAAAGATGACTGTAAGAATTCAACATTAGCTTTTACCCGCTTGGTGCTCTGAATTAAGATAAAAGGGTTTTTAAAAATTATTTTCCTGACAAAATCTGTGGGATCATTGTGACCCAAAGACCGACAGACTGCCTGCAAAAATTCAACCATCTGTTTATTCAGATCAAGACTATTGGAGAAGGTACGAGGGGCACTGGTCAACAATCGACAAAGGCATTTACGGGTTAATCCAACTGAGTAGAGGAACTTTATATTATTCTCTAAGTTTAGGTTGTTACTGGACCGAAAAAAGGATTCAGGAGAACGTTCCAAAATATTTACAATTTCAAGGTCTGATGTCACAATCTCTCTCCACAGATCCCACCGCTTTGAAAGACTCTCAGGAGTACGTGTTATGGCTCGTGGATATCTTGATATAATGCTAGCAATCACTTCTTTGCTAGCTCCTTTGGAAAGAAGAAACATTTTCACATCCTGCTCATTGGTAATCATCCTGCTGAAAATTCCAGGCTGTCGTTTCCTTGCCATGCCAATATCTACTCCCATAGTAAGTAAGTTGTTCAGTAGCTCCTCATTCTCCGAAGGCTCATTGTCTGCATTACAATACTTCACACCAAAAAGCCTAAATGAAACTGATTTGAAGACAGTTTCTGATGAAAATCGTGTCATCCAACATCTTGAACCAAAGAGAAAGTTACTTCTCATACACCAGAGGTTTCCTGCTGCCATAATGGTTAGGTAGTCCAAACTTTTTTAAATGCTGTGTAAAACAACACATAAAATATTACACAAACGTACGTGTTAAACAACTAAATGACCATATTATGATCCTATGAGCATCATGGTCCTTTCTATGAGAACACACCTTCAGCTCCAGCTCTCTAGAACTGTGTTAAGAATTCAGCCACTACACTGTCTTTCCCTAGCTCACTGCTTCTGTTATCGGTGGGCACAGGGTTGCTTCCATTTTTAACATAAAGAAAAGCAGGATTGGGCACCATTAGTGCCCCAGAATTATTCTTGCTATTTTCCTTGCTATTTTTGTTTACCCTTGCCTGCCTTGGGCACCTAAAAACAGTTGACCCTCTGCATCTCTGCTTCATCCTCCTGGCTTCCATCTCTGCTTTGTCCTCCTGGTTTCCAAACTTTTTTTTTTTTTTTTTGAGACAGGTCTCACTCTGGCAACCAGGCTGGAGTGCAGCAGCACAATTATGGCTCATTGCAGCCTCATCTCCCTGGGCTCAGGTGATGTTACTACCTCAACCTCCTGAGTAGCTGGGACCACAGGAATGCACCACAATGCCCAGCTAATTTATTTTTACTTTTTTATAGAGGCAAGGTTTCACCATGTCGCCAAGACTGGTTTCAAACTCCTGGGCTCAAGTGAGCTGCCTGTCTTGCCCTCCCAAAGTGCTGGGATTACAGGTGTGAGCCACCATGCCAGGCCTGACTTATTTCTTACAATGACACTTTCACTTCTGCCTTATATTTCAATTTTCAGATCTTTGACCTTGCCCTCCCCATAGACACTAGATTTCTCTGCCTCTGACCTCCTGGTTTTCAAACTCTAAATCTTGTCCTGAAAAACCAACACCTCAGATTATTTTCCATCTTGAACGCCTTTTTCTAGATTCATGGTACACTGTATAGCCATGCTACCATTAAAGCCTTAATTCTTCTTAGCTTATATATAGTCAACAGCTCTGGATCACAATCTCATTTGGTTTACCCTATCATTCCCTGCATTGCAACCCAGTAATTTCAAACCAATTTTCATCTTCAAAATGATCTAGTTGCGATATTAAATCCAAACAGCCCACATGTGAAACTGTATATAAACATTAAAACATTACTTTTACCATTCTCCCCTTCTCCATTACCATATTACACAGGATTAATTCTGGGCTGTCTGCATCTGCTGCACAACACTTTCAACTTGCAGCTTCTAGCATGTGACTAAAACCTTAATAAGTAATTTACCTCATCATTTAGAAATGTGGCCTGAAACATACAAACTTATTTATAATCATAACCATAGGTCCCTACTAAAATGAACGTCTCCATTTTTGTAAGAAATATTTTATGAGGAAAGCAACAGAAAAAGTGTTCTGTTATTCAGCCCATCTGATGATCTGTTTCTAAGCTACTTGTGCCTGAGTCACATAACAGTATATATATATTTTTTTAAACTGTACTTTTGCCTTTTCAGAATATATAGCTGTAACAAAGTTTGTGCTTAAATTCTAATCACCTACCATGGGCTCTTACTTAGAAAAGGCATTTCCTTTTTCTCCTTCTCCTAATTAAGCATAAAACAGAAAATAGAGATAGATGATTTCAACCCACTACTAACCTCTTTGGGCTTAAGATACTGCTTTCAAGATCAATTTCAAAGAAAGCCTCTTTGTGCCTACCCTTTCAATTACTCTAATTTTAATAAGAACTTGATTATGCCTAGAGGCAGGGAACATTCCTGTGGCTCACATAATCTACAGATTCTCACAGAATTGGGAAAAGATTCCAAAACTATAGAATCAAGCAGTGTTCAAAGACAAATGCAGGGCACTCATAACATAAATATCAAACAACGAAAGTACATTTTCAAATTGATCGATACTCTACTGAGCTCACTATTCACTTCTCCATAATAACATATATTACTCTATAATTACATACTCTTCCAAAAATGTGTGAATTTAGAAACTTTAAAATACAATTCTCTCTCTAACTGAAGAATGAAGGCTCTACCTTGCATAGCTCAACAGTCTGACGCTCGAGTGACCTCTACTGGAATAATGAGGTAGAATGCATAGCTGGAAATAGGCCAGTACTTTCTAGAGAGTTCCAAGATGATAAAATGGGATGGAGGAAGAAAATAGTAAAACTACAATTTATATTTGGCTTAGACTTTGAAAAATTCTTTCTATGCATAAACAATGTAATTGTACTGTAAGACATATATAATCAACAAACAAATGTACATATATTATAGGCATATTTTTATTAACAATGTACACAATCAAAAACATGTGAAGACTACTAGATAGTGCACTTTCTTGAGACTATCAGCATCACAGTAAACAGGGCTGATCAAGCCACAGACTGTTCAACAGAAATTCTACTAATGGCAAATTAAAAACAAATGAAAATGTGTGCCAAAATTCCTAACAAAAATAAATCCATAAACGTTTCTTCTAAAGCTGTCACAAGTAAACTTGATGTCTTATGTATAACTCATCCTCCACAGAAGTATCTTCCACACGAATTAACATGTCCCAAACTTGAGTATCTTTCCCAGTCCCCAAATTTGCCTTCTTCTGACTAAAGATATCACTATCACTATAGAGTCATTCGTGATAAAAATCTAAAAGTGAGCTTTGCTTTCTTCCTCTTCAACTCCAGTCATCAAATTGTATAGATTCAGCTTCTTTGTCATCTCTCTAAAATCCAACCACTTTTCTCTTCATAATTATCACTCTGTTACGCTGAAGGACTGCTTGAGCCCAGAAGGTCAAGGCTGCAGTGAGCCATAGTCAAGCCACTGCACCCCAGCCTGGATGACAGAGTGAACCCATCTCAAAAACAAAAAAAGACAAGAATACATGTTTGTTATGAAAAAGGATGACCAGGTCAACTGCGGTGGCTTCACGCCTGTAATCTCAGCAATTTGGGAGACCAGGAGTTTGAGATCGGCCTGGCCTTCATGATGAAACCCCATTTCTACTAAAAATACAAAAATTAGTCAGGCATGAGGATGCACATCTCTAATTCCAGCTACCTGGGTGGCTACGGCACAAAAATTGCTTAAACCCGGGAGGCAGAGGTTGTAGTGAGCTGAGATTGCACCACTGCACTCCAGCCTGGGCAACAGAGCAAGACTCTGTCTCTTAAAAAAAGAAAAGAAAAAGGATGACCATCATAACATCATTTGCTATAGCAAAGAAGAAGAAACCCAAATGGCCACCAAAAGAATGATTAATAAATTGTAGTACATCTATGCAATATCCTATAAAGGTGCCAAAAATAAAGGCCGATCTACTGCAATCGAAAGATGTCCAAGATATTCTACATGACAAACTGCCTAACAGTATGGATAATGCCAAGTATATTAAAGGGGGGGGGACATTAATATATACAGAGGAGGTAAGTAGAATGACATCTATTTCTGAAAGATTAATGGAGTCTACGCACTACTTTGAAATACTGGGACTTTAACGAATATGTGTCACTTTGCAGTCAAACAAAAAAATTTAAACAAGTAAAACTGGCCTACGTGTAAAAAAAAAAATGGAAAATACATATCATCTTTATCTAGTTTTCAGTTTCTAGCACCAAAAAAGTCACACTTCAAAATTTTCTATGATGCTTTACTCTTAGCTACCGATTTCCATTCAAAATACTCACATTATCTAGCAAGGTAAATGAACAAGAGAGTTATCAATTTTCCTCATGTACAAATTTCAAAAATGGTACCTATTCCAAAACTGACTTCAATCTATTTCTCAAACTGACTTTTTAAATTAATCAAAACCATTATCCCAAGGGCTAATGTTCAAACTTAATAAACACACTGAAAATCTCTATTGTAGTATTAGCGGTCTAAAAAAAAGATTTCCGTTCCCCTCTGCCCCACAATTGGCCTGTTAAAAAGGCTGTTAACAGAAATAACCAATCACTGGCCCTAAGATACCACATTCCAGCTGGCTGCTTCTGACACAGCAAGCTAAGTTTGGAGATCTTTACATGCATTTCTTACCTTGTTTGTCTTAAGGAAAGGCTCTGCATCCTTCCAGAAAGGCTGGAGAACAGCTCTCTCTGAAATGACACACACATACACACACACAGGCAAAATATATCAGGCCTTTCTAATACAAAATAAGAGTTCGATCCCAGCTAACGTTCTCGTTGCAATATGTTCTCGTGAGCCTCACTGCCTCTTGCAAACATCATCTCTCAAACATACAGAAATGAAAACGGCAAGTACACGCCGGCGTATGATGGGAAAAGGTAGCGGAATCACAAACATGTTTTGTAAAACCAGAGCTAAGTGCTTCATATACATTGTCTCGCTTTACACCCCACAACTTAAAAGGTAGACATAGACTTAAATTACAAAACCTGAAACAGCGCTGAGCTCCCATACTAGCCGCCGGTGTTCGCTAGCTGAAGCATTAGAGTTCGAAATCCGGGGAGGGGGTCTTTCTTAAATCAAAACCAAGGTTCGAAACCCAGTGGGGGGATTCTTTCCTAACTCAAAACCAAGGTAATTCCATACCGAAGACTCTTTCCATCCCTTTTCCTCCTCCAAGGGCAATTGTGCAAGAGGCTGCACTGTATAGCAGTCACCCAGTCCCACTTCTTCACAAAAAGAAAGGAAAGCACAGCCTCACCACCTTCCCAGCCTCACCCTGAACTGTACCCACCCGCTGTATATGGCTTTTACTTCCGTCTCTGGCGTCCGGAGTGGCTAAGCGGAGCGGAAGTGGAAAAGACTAACTTCCGTCCTCGGGTCGCGCGCAGAGGTGACGTCATCGGTCCTGCGCCCCCTCGTGGCGGTACTTCAGACCTTCGTAGCCCGACGGTAGGGGCCTGGCAGGGGGCAGCAAGAGACCGCGGTGAGCGCGGGGCATTGAACACCTTTCACGGGTTTCGGAGGGCGGGATAGGACCAGGGACCCCCAGTCGCCTAGGCAGATGGCTGTGGAGAACTGTAGGGCATCCTCTCGGGGGCATCCACTGCCTGCCGACGACACGTGGTGGGAAAGTCACTATTTACATAGATGTTGCAGTTTTTGATAATGTGACTAACGCGATGCCTATGAACACCTCGGCGTTTTCTGGTGCAGGAAAAGCGGGTGCGTTTACTCTGTTTAGCCCCAGATTCTCTTTCTTTCATGAACTACGGTGGAAATCCCGGAGTGTGACTGCTGGTCTGAATTCAGCATCCGCCTTCAGGCGGGCTAGGAATCAATTCTAGTATACTTCGATTTACCTCCTTGCAGCTCGAATTCAAATGTGGTTCTTTAGTCATTGGGACGGGTTTGCGCTATTTAAATTAAAGCATGGAGGCAACCTAAACCTCATCTCCACAGTGGATGCCTTTTTGCTTCCACCCGAGGCGTTGCCTTAAACCATGCGGTCCTGCCTAGTGATGATGACAATGGAGGAGATAATAGCTTCAATTCAAGACAATTCTCCGGTGACCATCAAAAGCAAGATAATATCTACATTAATGAATTAATCGTGTCTGTAGAGTTATCCTCAGGAGACAGTGGTGATTTGGTCCTTAGAAAAATACAGGATCAGTAGGGTTTATCCTGAATTCTACAAGGAGGAAAAAATTCATGCATTACTAACTCCTCCATGTACGAGCCTAATGATATAATTTTCTGGCCAGGCGCGATGGCTCCTGCCTGTAATCCCAGCAATTTGAGAGGCCAAGGCAGGAGGATGGCTTGAGGCCAGGAGTTCAAGACCAGTCTGGCCAACATGGTGAAACCCCATCTCTACAACAAATTAGTGAGGCATAGTCACAGGCTACTGTAGTTCCAGCTACTTAGGAGGCTAAGGTGGGAGCATCACCTGAGCCTGGGAGGTTGACGCTGCAGTGAGCCGTGATTGTGCCACTACACTCTAGCCTTGGTGACACAGTAAGACTCTGTCTCAAAAAAGAAAAATAATTTTCTTTATCCCTTTTTTTTTTCTGAGACAGAGTCTTGGTCTGTTGCCCACGCTGGAGTGCAGTGGCGCGATCTCAGCTCACTGCAACCTCTGTCTCCTGGGTTCAAGCCATTTCCCTGCCTTAGCCTCCCGAGTAGCTGGGACTACAGGTGCATGACACCATGACCGGCTTTTTATTTATTTATTTATTATTTTAGTAGGTACGGGGTTTCACCATGTTGGCCAGGATGGTCTCGATCTCCTGACTGCCCACCTTGGCCTCCCAAAGTGCTGGGATTACAGACGTGAGCCACCCTTACCGGCCTCTTTATCCCATTTCTTTGCCAATGAAAATTGTGATTTACTGTCACTCTTACCCTTAGATGACTCCTAACTGGGTTGTTGTCATTTTGTTTTTGATTAACTCTCTGTTTTGTTGGTTTAGAGGGATAAAGATTAATCTTTGGGAATTTAAAATACTAATAATCAGTATATCTATTGAATAAAACTACTTACTGCAATTCCTCCAGGTAAAAATTAGTCCCCAAAAATTGGAAATGGCTTTTTAAATGTGAATTTCTAAAATCTATATTCCCTCTGCATGGAAGAAGCTCCTATGTCTGAATTAATATTACTATATATTTTGTGTATATATATATATATATATATATATATATACACACACACACACACGCACACGCACACACAATCTGCTTTAAAATCAGAATGTAAAACAATAAAAATTAGAGATTAAATAAAATAGCCTTTGAGATTATTGAGCCCCAGCCCTCTCATTTTACAAATGAGAACACTAAAGCCCATCGAGTGGGAACTAGCGAGAGAATGCATGTCTTACACTTCCTTTACCAGTAAGTCTAAGATTTTTTGTATTGACAGCTATCAAGAGTTATTTCAGACTTACTTAGTTAACATTACCTATGTTGGTTTTTAGTGACATTTTGTAGGTAAAGGCAGATTGGTTCTTTTTAAAATAAGTTCCATATTTCCCATCAGAAATTTTCTGATTACAACTCTATTTTAAATGCATATTATAAAATACTGAAAGTATAACAATAGAAGTATAATCATGGCTGGGTTAGGATATTGTATTTCTTCAATGATTTTTGAAATGTCATTACCTCTAATAAGAGCAATGACTACTGCCTCATTGTCCTTTATGGTGTTTTACAGTAGGACCTGTATATGCCTTTCCTGTATTTCATGTGTTTATTCAATGAACATTTATTGAGCACCTGCACATTCCAGGCCCTGTTTTCAGGTTAGGGGATATAGTGGAAACCAAGACAGAGCCCCTGCCTTGCTGGACCTTATTTCTTACTGGTAGTTCTTACTCTCAGCCTGAATGTCTTCTCCTCTACATGCCTTCATCTCCTTCCTCAAGACCATAGCAGACCCATGTCCCTACCAAGTTGATATAATTAAGAAAAATTAAGTGACTGAGTGCAGTGATTCACACCTGTAATCGCAGCATGTTAGACTTAGATACTCAGAAGCTGGGCTGAAAGTCAAGTCTGAACACAGAATCTGTGCTGTATTCAGAAATTCCTCTGCTTCTTATAATTAATAATTTTTTAACTGTGCCAAATATGTCTGTTCCTCTGTCCTGGAAGTGTCCTTCCTGCTTCAGGCAAATAGATTTCTGGCAAACCACAGCCCCTCAGTTGACCATTTATTCATATTTGAATATCAGCAAGCCCAAAGAAAGGTCAAAAAGAAAGTGGCCCTTCATTCCTCCCACCCTTCCCTTCAGATGATACAATACCCACAGTCTCCTGGATTCAGCTGACACATGCCTGCCCCAGCCCACATCAACTTCATAGACAGACCCGCTAGCTTCCTATGTAACTTACTTGAGGGCCCTCAGAGGAACATCAGGCTTCTACCCAGGACTCTCTTACTCCATTCTCTTCCCTCCAGCTGTTTTGTTTGCATAAAGCTTAAAATGTCTCCCAGTTGTTCAAGGCTAATTAAAGTAGTAGATAAAGTTACCCAGAGAGTCTCAGGTTAATACTCTATTTATTGGCAAACATATAGAAAAGATAGCTTTATTTTCCACCTTTTCACAATTGCTTTTAAATAACTTAAGATTTCTAAAGATTTTGCTTAGGCATTTTTCTTTCTCTGAGTGTGTCTAAAGACTTCCTGAGTCAGCTTTCATGCTCCCACACTCATTACCACAAGGGTTTGTGGCAAAAATCTGAATACTTAGCCTAGCAAATTTGCTGATTCCAGACCTGATATGAGCGCAATTTCCATAGTAGTTGGATCAGTCAGCCAGAGTTGGCCAAGAGAACCCCAATAATCATTTGAGATCCCATTCATCCTCATGAGTTTAAGTACCTTTTGAATTGTTTGATCCTACTTTACCATATCTTAAATTAATTGCCATGACGTGATTCTGAATCATTGGTAGAAAAATTAATCTCAACAGAGAGGATAGCACACATTCACAAGATGAAATACTGTGTTCATTGTCCAAAACTATTTTCCTTTCCATTTAAGGTATTTCTTGAAATTCCTCTTTTAGAGATTTATTCCTGGGTATAAACTGTTCTGATTTAAAATTGCAAATGTATTTGAAAGGGAAAGCATATTAACCCAAAGGTCAGCAACCTTCTTCTATAAAGGACAAAATAGTATTTTAGGCTTTGTGAGTCACATACTGTCTCTGTTGCAAATTCCCTTTTTTATTTTCTATCTTTCACAACCCATTCAAAGTGTAAAAACCATTCTTAGCTTGAGGGCTGCTGGGCCACTGGCCATAGTCTGCTAAGACCTGCATTAAACTATAATGAGCTACTCACATATAACCATAACTTCATGTATTGATTACTATATTAAAGACATCCAAAAACTAGGAAGTTTAAGAGAAGAAAGCACATGGAGAGAAAAATAATATTTGAAAACATTCACATAAAGCTATCTGCCAGGCACAATTCTAATCAGTTCACCTATATTAACTCATTTTATTGTATAATGGAAATAATATTATCTCCATTTTACAGACGGAAAAACTGAGATAGAGACTATGTGACTTACCCAAGCTCATGCAGGTATTAAGTAAGAGAGCCAGCATTGCAGCCTAAGAAGTCAGGCTCCCAAGTCTATGACTGTATTCACAATGCTATGCTGACACTCAGGGAGACATAATTATTTAGTTCATGTTAGAAAATACAAATGAAGAAAGGGGTAAAAAAATGATTTCACTCGTAATTCCATCACCTAGAAATAACCACTATTTATGTTTTATTTATTCTTTTGGTTTATATTCTTTCATATGTTCTGGAAGAATATAAACCAAAAGAATATAAATAAAACATGTAAACTAAGTATTTTAGGTGTTGTGGGCAATATACTGTATAACTGTAACTGAAGCTAAATTACAGTTATATGTGAGTAGCTCATTAAGTTTATTGCAGGTCTTAACAGATTATGGCCTATATACATACACCCATAGAGTATATTGCATATCCTTAGTCAACCCTATGAGGCAGGTATCATACTTTCGCAGATGAAACTGAGGCTTAGATGAATTAAGTGACTCTGTGTCTTAGTCCATTTTTGTGTTGCTATAAAGGATTACCTGAAGCTGAGTAATTTATAAAGAAAAGAGGCTTACAGTTCTACAGGCTGTACAGGAAGCATGGCACTGACATCTGCTCTGTTTCTGGTGAGGGCCTCAGGAAGTTTACAATCATGGTGGGAGGCAAAGGGGGAGCAAGCGTCTCACGTGGCAAGAGGGAACAAGTAGGGGAGAGGAGGTGCCACATACTTTTAAACAACAGGGTTTCACAATAACTCACTCTTACAAGGACAGCACCAAGAATATGAGGAATCTGCCCCCATGACCCAAACACTTCCCAACAGGCCCCACCTCCAACACTGGGGATTACATCTCAATATTGGATT